GGTTGTTCGTATGTTGAAAATTCATATGTTGAAGTCCCAACACTCCATTACCTCCGAATATGACCCTATTTGGAAATAAGCTCATTGCAGATTTAATTAGTTAAGACGAGGTCATACTGGAGTACGATGGGTCCCTAAACTGATATGACTGGTGTCCTTATAAAAAGAGGAATTTTGGAGACAGACATGCACACAAGTAGAATGCCAGGCGAAGATCTAAAGCCAAGGAATGCCAATGATTGTCAATGAACCATCAGAAGCTGAGAGAGATCAACGGAAAAATCCCCTCTCACAGCCCTCAGAAGGAGCCAACCTTGCTGACACTTTGATTTTGGACTTCCAGTCTCCAGAAATGTGAGACAATAAATTTCTGTTGTTTACACCACCCAGTTTGTGGTGCTTTGTCATGGCAGCCCCAGGAAACAAAGACAGGGGCTGAAGTCATTCGGTTAGACATGGCTCTTGCTGGTGAGTGGCTGGGTGTGTCAAGAAGGCGGAGTCCACAAAGGCAGTGGAAGAAAGACCTTTCTAACAATTCAACTGCCCAATAGTGGGCTGAGCTGCCTTTGGCATAGTGGGCTTTCTAGCACTGAGGATGTTTCAAGTGGAGACTGGATGACCACCTGCTTGGGATATACTAGAGAAAATTCCTGCCTTGGGACCAAGGTGGGGATGGGTCACCTCCAAGATTTCCTTCAATTATAAGGCTTATTGATTCTAACTATGAAAGTGTTCAATGACAACAAAAAGCTAACTTCAAATTTTAAAATTGGGAATTGTTCTGTTCTTAAAAAGGACATAATGTAAAGAAGCAGAAAAAAAGAACCAGTAAAATATAATTCCACACAAGAAAAAGTGCAAATATTAATGAGGGAGACATTTCAAGAACCCACTAGCCAGGAAGTCCATGAAGAACAGTAATGTCAAAAACAAAGGGACGTTGAATTATATTAAAGACATTTACATAATGTAGCTACAAGCCAGTGTGGTGTAATACGAACATTATCTGTAGGGGTTAAAAGAGTGGAGTTTCAAGTAAGGTAGCTTCCTGTCATGAAACCTAAGAGCTTTGTGGCCTTGGCCTATGTGGTTAACTTCTCTGAGCAGGAGTTTCCTCACCTGCAGCATGGGACAACATCGCCTGGCTCCCAGTGTCAGAAGGATGACGGGAGATAATTGATGAAAAGTGCGGGGCACATAGTAAGAATTCAAGAAGGGATGACTATTCTTCTTATGAAATTATTGTCCCCAGAGCCAAAACGGAAGGCTGTTTACACACACACATACAAAGAGAGAGAGAAACAGGGATGACAGAAATCAAAGTTTTAAACAAAAGTCAAAGAAAAAAAAGAGGAAATTTTTTGTTAGATTCTATGACCTGAACAATGATCTTTCCTATTAAATGCAGAAGTTCCACTTACAGATATTATACCCAAGTTAAGTTCTTGGGAATCATGGTCTGCTACCTCATTCCACGTACTCTTGAGTGGGATGGTGGACAAGCGTTAATGGGTGAACAGGTCATTTGAAAGCTCTGAAGGCTGGCCCATGTCTGAGACTTTGGTCTGATGTGTGGCCTCGGATAAACTTCTCTCATTCTTGGTTTTCTCATCTGTAAAACGGAGCTCAGCAGGTTGATGGGATGACCAGATGGGACCAGACTTGGTTAAAGTGTTAGACAAAGGGCAGTGTAAACGTTGAGCATGTCAGCGCTGCATCCTCATAGCTTTGGGATGGCGATTATAGGCACTTACTCTGCCCCCAAGTGAAAATGTCCTAAATACCAGGGGAAGCGAGGGGCTATTTATCCTGATGGAGCCAGTCAAAAGAGGAGTAATGTGTGAAATTAAGGTAGATGAGGCTTTAAGGAAAGGAAAAACTTCTGTTCAGCAGGATCTTTTAGATAATGAAGCGGTCTCTAAGGAAACTTTGAAGAACCTGGAAGTGGAAGGAACACTAAAATAGGCAGCAGATCTGCCTACTGAAACACGAGTGATTCAGAGGTTCAATCTCCTCTTCGTCCTCGTAGCTTCTCCATCCTCGTTTACCTTTATGCTTTTTCCAAGTATGTTTCTTAATCTGAATTGCTCCTTATGTGAGGTTCCGATGCATTCCTGGAGTCATTTAAATTGGTCCATGTTTGTAGCATCTGGTGATAGAATCGTGCCTTATAAAGGCACCTGCCATCTCTCTCCTTGGCCCACCCTCACTGCCTCCCGTCACCCCACTCCAAGTTTGCAGCAGGCCCTCACAGCCTGGCTGACTCTTCCGCCTCAGTGTCAGCCTCCTCATTAGGCATGCTCTGGAGCTGGCTGGTGTCAGAGCTGGCCGATGCATCAGAATGCAGGGCATGCCTCAGGCTCCTAGGAAGCTGCACATTTCGCATGAAATATGAAGGCAACAGCCAGCCCAGGGGAGACCCAGGGTGAATTTAGTGGAATAGCAGCAAAGGTGGCTATTGGGGGAGGGGTGCTCTGTAGGGTCAAGGAGAGGATGTGGGCACCCATCACATATTTTTAAGGACACCGTTTTGCAGGGGGTGATACAGGGAGGGGACACCTGGTTTATACATCTTCTTGGCTGCTCCCGACAGACACTCCCCGGTTACCTTCTTTCTGCATATGCTCACGGTAGATCCGTGATTATGGTGATGTGCCCTTTTGAGATAGGCAGCCGGCTCTGGCTCTGTCTCCTGCTGTGCTCATCACCGATTCTTGAGTTTCCCTTTTGGGACAACCTGAAATCATAAGAGCAGTCCATGTGGATTTCGGAGCACCTGACAGTAAGAAGCATAATAAAAGTAATGATTGTCCAGCAGGCTCTGGGGATGCTTGTCGCATAGCACCATGGGCCTGCAGAGGTTAAGCATGCTTAGCAAGTGGTGTCCTCAGATGGCTCTGTGGCCTGACATGAAAACCTGCCTTTAACTTTCTCCAAATTCTCCCAGTTTCCAACCAAGCCTCCTTGCTGGGGTTCTAGGCAGCCATTCTGAGATGAGGGGAAAACCATTCATCTCCATCTTAAGAATTAACACCCACCATGTGTGTTGGACACATTATAGTGTAATTTGCTTGGACATCTCCGTTAGAACACGTACCCACTAGAGTGTGGTGGGTTTATGTGGAGATCCATGCCCTGGCCGCTCTGTCCAGGAAGCAGAGATGTTGTCTTATTGGTTGTTCTATATCCAGGGAATGGCACTTAGTAGATATTCAATAAGTACTGAATAAATTCTATTTGGTGCGACCTCCCTCCCACCCGTCACACATCCAAGTCATTAAGAAACATGAGTCTACTGGTCTCTCCAAATGCAGAAAGTTTGAGAAGCCATTTTTTCTCCCCTAAACTAAAACCACAGTGCCCAATATGGTGCACTCAAACAGGGCACAGGTTGATTCCATTTCATACCGTCAGTTACAGAGCATCCCACCTTCTTTTGATCAGTGAGCAAAAAATTATTTTTATATATATATGTATATTCCCCTGTTAAAAACATAAAAGTATATATATATTTCCCCTTAAAATGTATATGTACATATTTTCCCCTTAAAAGTAATTCTTGGGTTTTTAAGGTCTCCATGGGCTCCTCGGCAGTAGTTGACAAGTCAGTAGGAGCTGCGTGATTCTTTTTTCTGGAAACCTCCTGGAGTCAGGAGAAGAAGGGCAGATGCCCAGAGCTGCAGGGTCATCCTGCCTGCCCCTACCTGTGATGGACACCATCTGCCTTCCTTGGGAAAGTTTTCTGCAACAAATTCCAAAGCCATCATTTCTGGCAGGACTGCCTGCTGCACACCTCCCAGAGGCACCATTCCCCTTGAGGCTGCCCTGATGGTTGGAACGTGGAGAGTCAACACATAAGCTTGTCTTATATGTGGGAACCTTCAGCACATCTAATCGTATTTGGTGACTTTCTGTTAATCTTGCAGAGGAATTGGCTTCCTTGTGAAGTGAGAGGACTGTCCTTCTGTTTGGTTCCTGAAGGAGAGCAGCAGGAGGCAGCAGGATTTGACTAAAATGCTGGACTCTCACATGACTGTAAGCTCCCTGGGGGCAGGGCATATCTGTCCTACTGCACTGCTGGGTCCCCAGGGGCTGGAACAGTGCCGAGGACAGGGTAGGCACTCCACAGGCATCTTGATTGACTACCGCAAAGAAAGTACAGTGTCTCAGTCTCTAGCCAGTGATACGTTCAGGGCTGGTCAATGAGAATCCGCCCTGGCTTTGATATACAGATAGCGAGAGAGAGAGAGAGAGAGAGAGAGAGAGAGAGAGAGAGAGAGAGAGGAAGAGAGAGAGAGAGAGAAGTTCTCTTTCTTAGGGGCTGCTAAGTTGGGAGCAGGATGCTAATCACAAAGAGGAGAGAATGAGGCTATCAGACAAGATGAAGAGATGGCGAGAGAGAGAGAGAGAGAGAGATCAAATGAGCTAGCCCTAACAATGTAATGTGACTGTATCTTCAGCCCCAGCTGAAGATCTAACCCAGAACGTCTTAGTTATATGACCCAATAAATTTCTTATTTATTTATTTGCTTAAAGTAATATTAGAAGAGGGTTTCCGTCACTTAAAACCCAAAGTGGTCTGACTAATACACTTGTTTCATACAATCTCTTTCTCCTTTCAAAGCTTTTCATTTGCTCCATGCTGACAGCTGACTCTCCGTAGATTTTATGCATATGGATCTTCTAAACGTCTGTTTTCACACAGCGGTCATCTTGCGCATCCCTTTTGCTCATTTAAGCAGAACTGTGTTCAAGCCACGCACTCAGGGCAGATGCATCCTTCCTATACAAAGGATCTAGACAGAGAATTCTTCAAATTCCCTGGATAACAGACTTAACAGTTCCCAGTGGTGACAGATCCTCACATCCTCAGAACACACAGCATCCCCTCAACAGCTCACACGAACTCTGCAGTGGACCTCAGCTAGGGCACCCTGCTCTGTGCTCAGCTCTGCTGGGACAGCACTCAATAGTTTGTAGTTTGCTTCACAGGAATGAAGTTTGTCTCCCCAGTTAGACAGGAAACGTGCAGTTGTCAGAGAACAAAGGAGAGAAGAAGAAAGATGTTCGGTGAACATCTCCCATGTGACAGACACCGTCCACGGCACTGCACATCCCTGTGAGATAAATGACTTCCTCGTCTATAGTCGCGGACCCAGGCTCAGAGTGGTTCAGCAGCCACTTGCCCACAGGCTGAGCTGGTAAGCAACAGAGCAGGTCTGTCTGATCTGGGCGTCCATGCTTTTGCTCCCTCCTCTCAGTGGCCTCTGAGGCCGTATTTTGATAGGCTCAGTCCAGACCACTCAGCACCGTGCTGCCACACTGTCAAGTCCAACAGTGACAGCACCATGTTTATCGCCATTTAATACTAACCTAATGAGGAGGGAATGTTATAGACCACCCCCTCCATAGTGTGAGAGAATTGCGTGACATGGAGATGCACAGAAACAAGAGAAGTCTGGAGTCCAATTTCCTTCCTCTGTGGCCCACCCAGCCTCTAGGGTAGAGAGCACAGCCTAGGAAGGCGTTCTGTTCCCGAACAGGCAGGGGTGCCTCTGGCTGGGCGTCAGCCACTGACCCACCTCGTTTTTGTTCTGCAGGTGTTGGAAAGAGGATGCAGCCATCCCCAACCCCCAACAGGGAAGGGTGGAAAGTGCTGCACTGTGCAAGGGCGAGTGTACACATGTGTGTATGTGTGGTCCTTGGAGCGAGGGCCAGGCAAGGACCAGTCTGCAAAACAACATTAAGAAACTGAAACATTTTCCACTGAGAAACAGAATTACTGCCCGTGGAATTCTTACCCAGCCTGAGAAGCTAGCAGCAGCCCCTCCTTTTCATTAGTTAAACAAAGAAGGTTATTTTTCAAATGAAAATTTTCAGTGTGGAAAACAATCTAATTCCTGGGGCTTTTCAAGAAGCAAGATTCTCAGTGCTCGAATCAGCCTGTCTATGTGGACATGCAGCTGCAAAGGGCGGTGCAGGTACCTTGATGAAATGAAAGGCAGGCCTGGCCAGCGGGGCACCCAGGACTCAGCTTCAGGCCTCTGTGAAACAATCCCAGGTAGGAAGGCCAACAGAAGGAATGAACGATGGCTTGGAAGATTTGACTGTCTGCTAGGGAAAAAATAGGTGTAAATAAAAATATTTTCTGTATGTCCATTAAATGACCCTCTTTCTTCCTCCAAGTCAATGAACTCCCTCTGGCCGGAAAATAAGCTGCAAACTCAAACCCTGCTTGGTTCAACAGGGCTTGTTCAGCTTTATTGAACTCGTAGCCTTCAGATTTCTCTCAAGCACAAACTGGCTTCCATTCGGGTACCCTTGGGGTAACATCATGTCTTTCTCTTGAGCTGTTCTCTTCATGAAAGCTCCTGGGTACTTGCATTGTTTCACGGCAGGGAAGAACATGGAGGCAGACTGCCGGGTTCAAACACCAGCTCCATCACTTAAAAGCTGTGTGCACTTACTCTTTCTGGGCCTCAGCTTGCCCATCTGCAAAGTGGACTAGCAGTGGTACCAATCTCATAGAGTTATCATGAAGATTAAACGAGAACACGTTTAGAATGCACCTTAGTAGTTTCTGGACACAAGAAGAACTCACTAAAATTGTGGCCATTCTTATGAACTTAAAGGGACAGGACAGGTGGTCATAGGCCTAAGCTTTTTAAATTAATAAATATCATTCTTTGAGGTTCCTACTTTTCCCATCTCACTTGTGGAGAGCACATTGTTTAAAAACATAAAAGCAGGCAGAAAATAGGCTCTCTTCAAATCAGAGCTTCCTTCTCTAATCGGTCCGTGAACATTTCGGGGAGCGCTCTATTTAACTTGGCTGGCCCCTGGTTTTGCCGTGAGTAATATGTTGGGCTTCATTTCAAACTCCACACAGCCAAGATCACTGGATACTTGAGCTTCCCCAAGCTGAGTTGATACAGCTGCTCTGCCCCTGGTCACTGGTGAGTTGTCCCTGTGGATTCTAAAGGGCCTTAACACTGACAGGTCAAGGTGCATGGGCCAGCCACAATGCTCAGGGACAAGGGCTTCCACAGAGAAGGGGCTCAAGTGAGACAAGGCCCAGGAGATCTGAGAAGCACTAATGGGGAGTGAGAGAAGGCTGAGACAGGAGGGGCATGGCCAGAGGTTGCGGAGAGAGAGGGCTTGATGCATGGCTGTGGGGAGAGCAGCGTTGCTCGGAGCATCCTTGCTCCTATGAAAGGAGTACCGAAGGTGAGAGGAAACCATCCTGATCATGAAGTTTCCACAGAGACAAAAGAAGGGAGCCAACACTCTCCATGTCCGGATTTCTGGGACCAGTTAGATTAGATGATGGATACTTGCTTTAAAAGGATTGAGTGGGGCTTTCTTTTAAACACAGACTTCATTTCAAATGGAACTGAATGAACTAAATTTAATTTAGACATTTTTTTCCCAGGAACTTAGCTCTGGCATGAAACATGGCTTGCCTGCAGCCACTTGAGAACACATTCTGTGAGACAACAATGCTGATGGACAAATAGAGCAGAGTGTTAATTGTGAGGCTGGCCTAACCTCGATGACGGGCGGGCTGGTAAACAGATTGAAGAAGCTAATGACTATTTAGTGCTTTCTTTCCAGGCTGGCAAATGTCTCTTTGGCTTCTGAGGTAGCAACACCCTTACCTTAAAAGGTTTGGATTGATGAACTATTAAACTATGGGCCTATTAAAGCCCCTTCCCAAGTCTGTAGGGAAACCCAAGCATTTCAAAAGTGAGAGATAATGAAGATGTTCTAGAAGCAATATGATTATGAGTATACATTATAAATGATAATTACAATTAATCATATTAGCCGTCACAGTCTCCCAACATTATCACTTAACACTGGTAGATTCATCTTCCCCATGTGCTTTTGAAGACAAATTTGCCTCAAAGTCCAAATTTTCCCCTTTGATCTCTATGTCCTGAAGATAGGCATATGATGGGGAGTGAGGTTTGGGTATTATATGAAGGTGGGGAGTTGTGATGTTCTGTAAGTTCTAGAACTTCGGAACCTACAGGGCCCCCAAATGAGGCACTCGTGCAGTTTGTCTGGTTATTTCGATACTGTCACCAGTCCATTTACATGCCATCCATGGTAAAGCATTCTTGACCCCTCCCTGCTATCTAAATCAGCCTCCTTCTTTTATTCTCTCTCATAACCTCTTCTTTTGCCCCAAGCACTAATCATGGTTTTTAACTATTTCTTTATATTTATTTGATATTTAGCTCCTCCACTAGATGTAAGCTCAATAGGACCGGGGTCATGTGTTGTTCATGGAGGCTGGCATGTGGAAGGAGCCAGTAAATAACTGCTGAATGAAAGAGTGAGTTGTACAGCTGGGAAAAGCATGTCCTTGGGAAGAAGCTCTACCTTCTCTTTCTGTTGACACCAAACACTCACGATCTCCTTCAATACCGCAAAGCTTGAAAGTGATTTCCCACCTGCCAAGTCCCGTAGCTTTCTGGGTCCTCATCACTTGGCAGCTCTGGAGGCTGATAGAATGAACTCTCCCTGACTGGAAACCCTGCTTCCTTGGCTCCCATGGCTCCATACTCATCCCTCTTCTGTGCCCACTGACTCCTTTCTCCTCTTACTCCTTATGGGGAGGGAGCTACCCAATGGTTCTGGACTCAGCCTGATGATCTCCTGGTGCTGCTCCTGCCCTTAGCTCATTCAGTCTTGGCTTCAGACTTCAGCTTCACGCTGGTACCTCTGAAGTCTACATTTCTCATACTGAAGTGCTCTTTCTCCTGCCTGTCTTTTCTTCTGGAAACATAATCACCATCCTCCCAATCACCTGGCTGGAAAACTTGGAGTCTTTTCTCAACATTGTTCCTCATGTTTACCAAATAGTCAAGATAACAAAATATTGAAAATATTCGCTGTCTTCTCATTGCCCATGACTCAAGTCTCTTGATAATCCAGAACTTCCAAGCTTTCAGACACCCCACTCTTCCCAATTCTCTGCTATACTTTATCCAAATGACTATTTCCAACTTTCCCTTTAGCCAACAATGCCTTTTCTCCCATTTACACTGCCCAAATTCTACCTTTCAAGGCTTATCTCAATACTTCCCATTTTATGTCTCTCTTGAATGTTCCAATCAATTATGATTTCTCCTTCTTTAAACCACCAAATTACTATGTACTTTCAGTTGGCATTCTCTTAATTCTTTATTGTAGAATGGGTTTCTCTGAATTTGTCTATATCCTTTAGAGAAATACTAATAAAAAAATTCCTGGAAAGACTAAACTAGATAAAAAGAGAGTTGGCATAAATTACCAATACACATCCTATAGACATTAAAAGATATTAAGAGGATACTATGAATAATTTTATATTAGTGAATTTGAAAATGTAGGTGAAATGGACAAATTTCTAGAAAAATGCAAAAAAGACTGATATGAGAAGAAATAGATAATTTGAATATTCATATATTTATTAAAGAAATTGAATCCATCATTTAGAATTTCCCTAAAGGAAATCTTGAGGCCCAGTTAGAGTGGAAAATTCTTCCAAATATCTGAGGAAAATATAGTATGAATGTTACACAAATTCTTCTAGGGAATACAACAAAGAGGAGAGACATTTTACTAATCATTTTATGAGACCAGCATAACCTTGATACTGAAACATGTCAAAAGACATTACAGGAGAGGAACATAGATATAAAACTCCTATGCAAAATATTAGCAAATCAAATCTAGACATATAATAAGAGGATTAAATATCACAATAAAGTGAAGTTTATTCTAGAAATGCAAGGTTGGCTTAACACTTAAAAAGCAATCAATAAATTTACCACAGTTACAGAATACAGAAGAAAAACTATATGATCATCTCAATAAATGAATAAAAAGCATTTAATACCACTTAGTACTTGTTCATGATTAAAATGATAACTCTGGGCCAGCCCCATGGCCAAGTGGTTAAGTTTGTGTGCATTGGTGGCCCAGGTTTTCACCGGTTCAGATCCTGGGTGCGGACATGGCACCTCTTATCAGATCAGGCTGAGATGGCGTCCCACATAGCACAACCAGAGGCACTTACAATTAGGATATACAACCATGTACTGGGGGACTTTGAGGAGAAAAAGAAAAAGAAGATTGGCAACAGATGTTAGCTCAGGTGCTAATCTCTAAAAAAATAAAATAAAATAAAATAAGATAAAAAGATAACTCTCATCAAACTAGAACTTAGAAGGAAACTCCTTAATTTGTAGAGGGTATGTCTAATAAACCTATACTTAGTCAGCTTCTGCCTGAGATAAGGAACAAGACAAAGGTCTTCACTCTCACCACATCCGTCCAACACTATACTGAAGGTTCTAGCCAGAGTAATTAGACAAGAAAAAGAAATTTTAAAACATTAGGATTAGAAAATACATAAATCTCATGTTATTTGTGGACATGATTGTATACATAGAATCTACAGGTGAATTATTAGAATGAGTAAGTAAATTTATCAAGACTAATCAATTTAAGATTGACATAGAAAAATCAATTATATTTTTGCATACTTACAGTAAATATTAGAAAATAATATTTTTAATTAAATTCCATTTACAATAGCATTTTAAAAATCAAGTAACTTCATAGGAACAAATTTAGCAAAATAAGCTCCTGACTTATGCATAAAAAATGCAAAAC